TTTTTTTTGAGACGGGTTTTGTTCTTGTTACCCAGGCTGGAGTGCAGTGGTACGATCTCAGCTCACTGCAACCTCCACCTCCTGGGTTTAAGCGATTGTCCTGCCTCAGCCTCCCGAGTAGCTGGGATTATAGGTGTCCGCCACCACGCCTGGCTAATTTTTCTTTCTTTGAGATGGAGTCCCGCTCAGTTGCCCAGGCTGGAGTGCAATGGTGCCATCTCAGCTCACTGCAACCTCCGACTTCCAGGTTTAAGCAATTCTCTTGCCTTAGCCTTCTGAGTACGTGGGATTACAGGTGACCGCCACCATGCCTGGCTAATTTGTGTAGTTTTAATAGAGACGGGGCTTCACCAAGTTAGCCAGGCTGGTCTAGAACTCCTGACCTCAGGTGATCTGCCCGCCTCAGTATGGGATTATAGGCCTGAGCCAAGGTGCCTGGCCACCGTTTTGTTTTTTGTTAAGAGACGGGGTCTTGCTCTGTCACCTAGGCTAGAGTGCAGTGGTGCAATAGCTTGCTGCAGCCTTGACCTCCTAGACTCAAGTGATCCCTCAGCCTCCCAAGTAAATGGGATCACAGGCTCACACCACTGAGCCCCTGGTAATTAAAAAAAAAAATTCACTATGTTGGCCGGGCTGGTTTTGAATTTCTGGCCTCAAGCAGTCCACCTGTCTTGGCCTCCCAAAGTCCTAGTATTATAGGCATCAGCCACCACACCCAGCCAAAAAAAAATTTTTTTTTGCTGGGGTTTTGCCATGTTGCCTAGGCTAGTCTTGAACTCCTGGCCTCAATCTCTTCTCCTGTACTGGCCTCCCAAAGTGCTGGGATTGCAGGTATAAACCACCACATGCAGCTGGTAACTATACCTTTGAGACACTATTCTAAGATGGTAGATTATATATTCCTCCCTAATGAGCTGTAATGTAGATACATGTTCAAAGCTAATGGACTAATTCCCATTCTTCCCTCCAAACCTTCCCTCCACAGTCTTTCTCATGGAGTACAAAGCAACGTGTTTCTCAGTGAGAATCTAACAGCATTGCCCCTGCTTTCAAAATACGCCCCAGGGCCTGACGCAGTGGCTCACACTTGTAATCCTAGCACTTTGGGAGGCTGAGGCGGGTAGTTTGAGACTCCGGGGCTAGATAACATGACAAAAACCCATCAGTACAAAAAACAGAAAAAAAAATTAGCCAGGTATGGTGGCGCATGTCTGTGGTCCCAGCTGCTCAGGAGGTTGAGGTGGCAGTGGGTGTGCTGGGAGCAGGGGGTTATGCCTATAATCCCAGAACTTTGGGAGGCCAAGATGAGAGAATTGCTCAAGCCCAGGATTTCAAGACCAGCCTGGGCAACAAAGCAAGACCCCATTTCTACAAGAAATACAAACTTAAAAATTAGCTGTGTGTGGTAGCACATGCCTGCAGTCCAAATACTTGGGAGGCTGAGGTGGGATCATTTGAGCTCAGGAGGTTGAGGCTGCAGTGAGCCAGGATTACACCCTGGCACTCCAGTATGGGCAACAGAGGGAAACCCCGTCTCTAAAACACCCAACCAATAAGAAGAAAACCTGCACTTATGGAGAGACCTTTGTCAGGAAAGCACACCACAATCACTGTCATTAATGTCAATTCAGATGACATGGAGCTGCCTCACCATTTTCTCTTTAAAACAGTAAACTCCAAGTCAAAAACTGAAAAGTCTTATCTGAATTAAAGTGGGGCAACCTAAATTACTTTAAAATGTATTATGCAATATTAATATGCATCAAAACATGTAATCGTAATATTGTGAATTAGCACAACCTGGAAAACATTTGAACACATCTGGTACCGGGCACTTTCACTCATGGGTGTCTCTCCAGAGCCGAGATCAGCAGACCTTTTCTGTGAAGAACTAGATAGGGACTATTTTAAGCTTTGCAGCCCATCGGGTCTCTTTTGTAATGATGCCACTCTACAGTAACCTCTGCCCTGGCAGTGTGAAAGCAGAGACCATACATTAAACAAATGAGCATGTCTGTGTTCTAGTCCAATATATTTATAGAAACCGTGTTTGAAATTCATGTAATTTTCTCATGTTATGAAGTATATGTTAAAAGGTAAAAATCGTATTTAGCATGTGGGCTGTTCAAAAGCAGGAACAGGTTGGACTTTCTGCAAATCACAGTTTGCAGACCCCTGATCCAAAGCAGCTCCGTCCAGTGGGACTTGCTGTGCTGAGGAGAACACCTGCGTCCACTGTCTCCTTGCAGCAGTCGTCAGCCACGTGTGGCTGCCGGGCCCTTGAGAACCGGCCGGTGTAACTGAGGATCTGGATTTTTAACGTTGTTTGATTTTCAGCATGAATTTTCATTTGCATTTGAGCAGCCCAACGTGGCTAGTGGCTACTATATTGGGCAGCACAGGCGTACAGAGGCTCTTGTACACGTGTGGCAGGAAGCAGGGACAGAGATAATCATGACGGCATTGTTTTTAAACAGCAAAAACAACTGATGGCATTTTCACGCAATGGAAAATGATTGTAATAATAGCAAACATTTGTTGAGTGCTCTCTTTCCACCAGGCAATGTTTTAAGCACTTTACATGTTTTCATAAGTTGGAGAAAAAGTGTAACCACATACCTCATTGTTAGGTAGTAGTGAAAATGAATAAACTATAGCTACAAAGACCTGCAAGGATGAATGAATCTTAGATATGCAGGTTGCATGAAAAAGCAAGTCACGGCTGGGCGCAGTACCTCACACCGGTAATCCCAGCACTTTGGGAGCCTGGGGCAGGTGCATCACTTGAGGTCAGGAGTTCAAGACCAGCCTGGCCAATATGATGAAACCCCATCTCTACTAAAAATACAAAAAATTAGCCAGGCTTGGTGGCAGGCATCTGTAATCCCAGCTACTCGGGAAGCTGAGGCACAAGAATCGCCTGAAGCTGGGAATCTGAGGTTGCAGTGAGCCGAGATCACACCACTGCACTCTAGCCTGGGCAACAGAGTGAGACTCTGTCTCAAAAAAAGCAAGTTATAAAAACTGCATGCCATGTGATACCTTTTTTAAAACCAAGCAAAAACCAAGCAAAATGAAACAACACTGTTCAGGGGAAATGAATGGTAGAATATTATCGGAGCAAGGGAATTCAGGCTGTGTTACTTTTGGGGGAGAGAAGGTGCCACCAGTGAGGGCCCACTGTGTTGAGGGACAGTGGGATTCCTGACCTGTTCACATTTCTACTCCTCCGTAGTAAAGGGGTTTATGAGCAGGATGAATATTGACTTAATAGAGCAGAGCTTTCAGGGCTGGGCCCAGTGGCTCACACCTGTAAATTCCAGCACTTTGGGAGGTTGAGGTGGGTGGATCACGAGGTCAGGAGTTGAGTCCGGCCTGACCAACATGGTGAAACCCCGTCTCTTCTAAAAGTACAATAATTAGCCGGGTGTGGTGGTGTGTGCCTGTAATCCCAGCTACTCAGGAGGCTGAGGCAAGAGAATCACTTGAACCTGGGAGATGGAGGTTGCAGTGAGCTGAGATCGTGCCACTGCACTCCAGCCTGGGCAACAGAGCAAGATTCTGTCTCAGAAAAAAACCAAAAACAACAACAACAACAAAAAAACCTCGGCGCTTCCAGGTAGTAAAAGCAGTGAACATTGTAGCACCCCCCAGTTAGTTTTGAATCTGGCTTCCATTCACATTTAAGCAGATGTTCCATTAGCAGAGGGGTTTATGTCTGTTGCCTTGGTTGGGTACTTTGGATTAGAGAACCATTGTTATTTTTTCCAGTTCAAGAACAAAGGGTTAAAACCTTTACTCCAACTTCTTGTTTCATTAAATCTACCGATGACAATGAGTTGAATGTTACCACAATCTTGCTGAGAGAATTTAGCTTGGAAATGAACATCTGAAAACTGCGAAATAACAAATAGATGTACTTATTCATGGTTTGTCATTAGAGTGTTCAGTAAAGGAAAAATCCTAATGACACTGAGGGTGTTAGGACACTTCATTCGGAGTATTCCATCCATAAATTAATCACTTCAGAATTATGCAGTAGTTAATGGTAAGTTGGATGCAAAGTGACATTTTGCTCCTGAAGATTAGGTTTCGCTGTAGCAATCCTAGTAGCCAGTCACTGAGCTTATTGTTGAATAATGTGTGAAGCTTTTCTGTGTAATATGTGCACCTTTGACTTTTTTCCTTATGATTCCGTCTTCGTTCTTTCCTGTATTACTGACATGGGTTTATCTTTTCTCCCTTTAGAGAGTTTTGAGGTGACAGTCACCAAAGAAGGTGATAAAGGGTTCTTTCTTCCCCTCTTATGAATATTAACCCACTAACTTTGTTTATAAAATTGGGAATCAGCCCTTAAACAGAAGAAACTGTCATGTTCTTTTATCCTTATTTATTCTTCTACTTTGTTTCTATTTTAAAGTATATTGATGGAAATTGTATGTAACCAGACCCTTGGTTAGAAATATCTGGAAATCAGACATCCATTTGAACTGTATGGATAATACTGTACGTTTTTGTTGACTCAAAGTTCAGAGATTTGCTTTGTAACAATTTTCTATTAGTTGGAATTGTGGAAGATGCAGTCTTATTTTCATGTGAAATACGGTTTGTGGAGTTTTACATAGACATCAAAACATTTATGCTGTTCTCCCATGGACAAGAATGGAAACAAGGATTTTTAACTCCTAATTAAGCTTGTGAGCCAATTTAGATGTAGTGAAGTTCCCAGGCTGGTGTCTTTTTCAGGGTTGATAGGATAAAGTCCGAAACAAAGGCAAGTCTAACCAATCCCTCCCCATAATAGAAACTGTATCTTCATCGTGGGTGATAGCTGTTGAAATGGATGCCTGACAAGTTGGTATTTCTACCTTTCTCATTGAGTAGTTTGTTTTGATTCCCTAATTTTAGCCAGGCTCATTGCACAGGAAGACTTGTTTCCTTTGATTTTTTTTTTTTTTTTTGACAGAATTTCTGCAATTACGGTGCTGATCCTCTATTTCATGCTTCCTCCTTTCTCAACACGTAACTGCGTTTTAGCTTCTCTCTGGTCCAAATCAAACTGGCCACCAGCTCTCCCAGGAGTTTGGGCAGCGCTGGTGCTCTCAGGCCTGGCTGTGTGCTAATGAGACTCCTTTTACCCTCGAGCTATCTAAGTGCTCCTGTGGAATGCCTGTCTATATTTTCTTCTCTCTCTCTTTTGTATTCCTGCATGAATGGATGCAAAGTAAACAAGTTGCTTGGAAAGCCAGAATCTGCTTCATCTTACTAAAGCCCTAGAACTTCCCCATGTTTAAAGCTCAGTGCCCCTGCTTTGTCCACGGACCCTCCAAACCCCTGGCTGCCGAATTGTTGTCATTTATTTTCTTTGGGGGTGGAGAGAGGGGGGAGGAGGGCAAGGTGCAGAAGGTCTGCGTGGTGGGAATTCTAACCTGTTCTGCTTTGACTCCCTAGGTGAGATTTGTGGATTTAAAATTCACGGGCAGAATGTCCCCTTTGATGCAGTAGTTGTGGATAAATCCACTGGTGAGGGCGTCATTCGCTCCAAAGAGAAACTGGACTGTGAGCTACAGAAGGACTACTCATTCACCATCCAGGCCTATGACTGTGGGAAGGGACCTGATGGCACCAACGTGAAAAAGTCTCATAAGTAAGCAAGCCGGACAAAGAGCGAAAGTAACCCACCGAGTACATGTGTGTGTGCGGAACGAAGATTATAGTGACTGTTGCCTGCTCCTCAAAATTGTGTTTTTGGAATATGAGGCAGAAGATAGTCCTCAAATGTCCACAGTTAGATTGTAAACTCTTGGAGGGCGGGAATCACGTCTGTCTGTCTACCCTTGTGTACAGCTCCTTGCAAGAGCCTCGCTCACATTAGGCATGCTAGGTGTTTGTTTGTTGTTTGCTTGTTTTTGAGACAGGGTTTTCCTCTTATTGCCCAGGCTGGAGTGCAGTGGCGGGATCTTGGCTCACTGCAACCTCCGCCTCCCAGGTTCAAGTGATTCTCCTGCCTCAGCCTTTCGAGTAGCTGGGATTACAGGCATGTACCACCATGCCCAGCTAATTTTGTATTTTTAGTAGAGACAGGGTTGCTCCATGTTGGTCAGGCTGGTGTTGAACTCCCAACCTCAGGTGATCCGCCCACTTCGGCCTCCCAAGGTACTGGGATTACAGGCGTGAGCCACTGTGCCTGGCCTAGGTTTTGAATAAATGAATGAGTGAACAATTTTATCGCACCAAATACTCTATTAAAGAAATAAAGGCTATATACATTAAAATTTTTTTAAGTCCACTTCTCCCTTAGGAAGGTTATTTTGTTGTTGTATTTATCTTTTGCTATAATTCCTAAGGACATAAAATTAATGATTGTTGGCTGGGTGCAGTGGCTCACATCTATAATCCCAGCACTTTGGGAGGATGAGGCGGGAGGATCACTTGAGCTCAGGAGTGTGAGATCAGCCTAAACAATGTAGAAGACACAGCCTCTACAAAAAATAAAAAGCCAGGTATAGTGGTGCATGCCTGTGGTCCCAGCTACTTGGGAGGCTAAGGCAGGAGGGTTACTTGAGCCCAGGAGGTTGAGGCTGCAGTGAGCCATGATTGTGCCACTGTACTTCAGCCTGGGTGACAGAGTAAGACCCTGTTTCTAAAAACAAAAAATTGGCCAGGCACGGTGGCTCATGCCTGTAATCCCAGCACGTTGGGAGGCCGAGGCAGGAGGATCACCTGAGGTCAGGAGTTCATGACCAACCTGGCCAACATGGTGAAACCTTGTCTGTACTAAAAATACAAAATTAGCTGAGAGTGGTGGCACGCCTCTGTATTCCTAGCCACTCAAGAGGCCGAGGCAGGAGAATCACTTGAACCCGGGAGGTGAAGGTTGCAGTGAGCCGAGATCATGCCATTGCACTCCAGCCTGGGCAAAAAGAGTGAAACTCCGTCTCAAAAAAAAAAAAAAAATGTAGTGACTGCTGGTGGAAGTAGGCTGACCCGCCACCACTGTCCTGAGTGTTTCTGCGCCTCCTGCCAGTAAGGAACTGTAGATGTAACAGAGAGGGCTTTGGACAACACAACATAGAACAGGGGTCCCAAAACCCCAGGACATGGGCTAGTACTGGTCCATGGCCAGTTAGGAATGGGCCACATAGTAGGAGGTCAGCAGTGTGTGAGCTCGCCAGCATCACTGCCTGAGCTCCCCGTTCCCGTGAGATCAGCAAGCAGCATCTGGTTCTCAGAGGAGTGTGAACCCCGTTGTGAACTGTGCATGCAAGGGATCTAGACTTCATGCTCCTTATGAGAAGTGAATGCCTGAGGATCTGAGGTGGGACAGCTTCATGCCAAAACCATCCTCCCACACCCATCTGTGAAAAAATTGCCTCCCATGAAACCAGTCCTTGGTGGCAAAACGGTTGGGGACCTCTGGTGTTCTCAAGTGTCTACAATTAGATTGTAAGCTCTAGTCTTTTCTAGAGGTCTAGAATTTTCTCCACCACTTGCTAGCCCTTTAGCATCGGGCAAATTTAATTTTGAATGTTTCTTTTTTTCTTTTTCTTTGAGGCAGAATCTTGCTCTGTCACCCAGGCTAGAGTGCAGTGGCACGATCTTGGCTCACTGCATCCTCCACCTCCGGGGTTCAAGCGATTCTCGTGCCTCAGCCTCCCGAGTAGCTGAGACTACAGGCACGCGCCACCACACCCGGCTAATTTTTGTATTTTTGGTAGAGGCGGAGTTTCACCATGTTGGCCAGGCCGGTCTTGAACTCTGACCTCTGGTGTGCCTCCCACCTCGGCTTCCCAAAGTGCTGGGATTACAGTCGTGAGCCACTGCGCCCGGCCTTGAGTCTCAGTTTCTACTTAGCACATGTACTAAAGAAGGGTATGTGGGAGAGATGGTGTCACATACCCCATTGAGAGGGGCAGGCCGATGGCACTGGGATGAGAGGCTCATGGTGAGCAGAGGGTGCCGTGTGCCAGTGCGTCACTCCCCTTCTTATTCTACCGTGTGATACTATTGTTTCCCTTGAAAAGGTCATCGTTTGACCAAAGACCTCGTCTGATGCAGAAGCAGCCCTGGCCATTAGCCCTTGAAACCCACAGTTTTATTTGTAGCCAGGTCTGATGACACCCCTAATTTTCTTTTTCTTTCTTTCTTTTTTTTTTTTGAGACGGCGTCTCATTCTGTCTCGAGGCTGGAGTGCAGTGGCGTGATCTCAGCTCACTGCAACCTCTGACTTCCATGTTCAAGCGATTCTCCTGCCTCAGCCTCCTGAGTAGCTGGGACTATAAGCGCGTGCTACCACGCCCGGCTAATTTTTGTATTTTTAGTAGAGACGGGATTTCACCATGTTGGCCAGGCTGCTCTTTATCTCCTGACCTTGTGAACCACACGCCTCAGCCTCCCAAAGTGCTGGGATTACAGATGTGAACTACCGTGCCTGGCCGACACCCTAATTTTCTTGGTAACTGAGCTGGGGGTGGCAGGTGGTAGCCACAGCCTGTCCCTCCTGAGCACTTCCATTTGTTGAATCAGGACCAGGTGATGCCATGGTCTCTAGCCTGTTCGCTAGAAGTAGGGCAGAATTCACTTCAACTCTCAGAATCAAACCATTTCTTGCTTTCTCTGTTTCTTACCCCTTCTTCCCTTGGCTCTATTTTTTCTGGATTTTGCAACAAAATATGTTTCAGCTTTATAATTGGAGAGCAAACAGATGTCTGGTGGTGTTTATCTCCCTTCTGCCTGTCCTGTCCCATATTGTCAAAACCCCAAGTCTCTTTTATTTTAGATGATTGCTGCCTTATTCTTAGGATATGGAAGAATCGACCCAAATCCCTCTTTGAACTTTATGTTATCTCCACACTGAATGAAAAGTAGTGAATAGCTTGGCTTAATTTTTGACTTCATTATATGAATTTCATGAAATGAGGAAATTTTAAAGTAGGGCAGAATTGATATGTTTTGGGTAAACACATATGCACACTTGAAAACAAACGAAAAAAAAAATGTTTTTCTCCCTCCCTTGGTCCAGAGCAACTGTCCATATTCAGGTGAACGATGTGAATGAGTACGCGCCCGTGTTCAAGGAGAAGTCCTACAAAGCCACAGTCATCGAGGGGAAGCAGTACGACAGTATTTTGAGGGTGGAGGCCATGGATGCCGACTGCTCCCCTCAGTTCAGCCAGATCTGCAGCTATGAAATCATCACTCCAGACGTGCCCTTTACGGTCGACAAAGATGGTAAGAATGGAGGAGCCAGCTTTCCTTTGCAAGGGCATGCAGTCGCTGGGCGGGCAGTCCCTGCTAACCCCACCGACTTTACACCCCAGCTTCTGTGCCAGAACTTCCACAAAACTCACAAGTTGGAGACCTAACCTGGTGTATGTTTGCTTTTAATTGTGAAACCATTTAAGTTTCTACTTTGTCCCCGACAGCTTCTTTCTCTGAAACCTGAAAGTCCCGTGTTCTCTTCTGGGGCTCACCTCTTTTCTGCTTTCCCACCAAAATCAAATAAAAATCCCCCCACCTGGTATGGATTTATTTTTTTAATCTTCTTAACTTTCAATCCACATACATCGGAATGACACCTTTAAATTTAGTTTGTCTCATCTTCTATTCTCCATTAAGTTTTTTGTTTTTTGTGTTTTTTCTTTTTTTGAGACAGAGTCTTACTCTGTTCCCCAGGCTGGAGTACAGTGGTGCAGTCTCAGCTCACTGCAACTTTTTCCTCCCAGGTTTAAGCAGTTCTCCTGCCTCAGCCTCTCAAGTAGCTGGGATTACAGGCACTTCCCACCATGACCAGCTAATTTTTTGTGTGTTTTTAGAAGAGACGGGCTGTTACTATGTTGGCCACGAGCTCCTGACCTCAGGTCATCCACCAGCCTTGGCCTCCCAAAGTGCTGGGATTATATGCGTGAGCCACCGTGCCCGGCCATGTTCTCCATTAAGTTAGAAAGTTAGAATCCTTGTCTGTCAATCTAGTTAGTTGTTTGGGGGGAAAAAAAAAAAACAAAACTCTTCTGCTACATCTTCTTCTTCTTTTGTTTTTGTTTTTGAGAGAAGGTCTTGCTCTGTTGCCCAGGCTGGAATCCAGTGGTGCATTATTGCTGACTGTAACCTCAAACTCCTGGGCTCAAGGGATCCTCCTGCAACAGCCTCCATAGTAGCTGGGACTGCAGGCACACACCTGTAGTCCCAGCTACTTGGGAGGCTGAGGTGGGAGAATCGCTTGAACCCAGGAGGCAGAGATTGCAGTGAGCTGAGACCGCACCACTGCACTCCAGCCTGGGCAGCAGATCAAGATCCTGTTTTGGAAAGAAAAAAAAGATAATACAGTGTTTCTATTGTTAATGCACAGTCCAGAATCTTTGATGGAATTACAGGTATTGCAAACACTTTGCAGACATCGGCACTCATGTTCAAAAAGCAGGCTTCTGTTCTAAGGTGGCGGTGGGGGTGGGGGTGGGAAATCTCTTTTAATAAAGTAAATCTTTGAGCAGCGATCTAGTATTTAATATTTGAGGTACTTGCATTATTTGGTCTTTTTAATTCTCTTAATGTACGTAAACAGTTCAATCTGAATGTAAAGCCAGATGTAACGCTGGAAGAGTAAGTAGAGGGGGAGTTGTGTAGCTCTTCTTTTCTGTTTAAACTCTTCAGGGGGGATTTACTGTGTGTTCGCGCGTGGGGAAGACGGCTTGAGGGTTAAGCATTCCAAGCATATGTGTATTTCTGGGTCAGTATTTACAGGGTGTAAAGTGTATGCGTTTTGTGTTTCCGCCTAGGACAACAAAAGCCAAAACGGCGTGGGTTTTGGCTCTCACTGTTGTTTTTGCCCTCTGTAAGGTTATATTAAAAACACAGAGAAGTTAAACTATGGGAAAGAACATCAGTATAAGCTGACTGTCACTGCCTACGACTGTGGGAAGAAAAGAGCCACAGAAGACGTTTTGGTGAAGATCAGCGTCAAGCCCACCTGCACCCCTGGGTGGCAAGGTGAGCCCCATTCTCTCTGCTGTGCTTACATCTGTTCTTAATACTGATATGCCGGGCGGGCGCGGTGGCTCACGCCTGTGATCCCAACACTTTGGGAGGCTGAGGCGGGCAGATCACGAGGTCAGGAGATCGAGATCATCCTGGCTAATAGGGTGAAACCTCGTCTCTACTAAAACTATAAAAAATTAGCTGGGCATGGTGGCACGCGCCTGTAGTCCCAGCTACTTGGGAGTCTAAGGCAGGAGAATCCCTTGAACCTAGAAGGCGGAGGATGCAGTGACATGAGATTGCACCACTGCACTCCAGCCCGGGTGACAGAGAGAGACACTGTCTCAAAACAAACAAACAAAAAAACCCTGATATGCCACGGCAACCTAAAGCATGAGTTTTCCTTCTCACATGCTGATGTGTGGACGATACAGGCTGGAACAACAGGATTGAGTATGAGCCGGGCACAGGCGCATTGGCCGTCTTTCCAAATATCCACCTGGAGACGTGTGACGAGCCAGTCGCCTCAGTACAGGCCACGGTGGAGCTAGAAACCAGCCACATAGGGAAAGGCTGCGACCGAGACACCTACTCAGAGAAGTCCCTCCACCGGCTCTGTGGTAAGGAGACCGGGCGCTCCTGCGTCCTGACAGCTTCGGTGAAGGTGGGCGGGACCTTTACAACTGGAAATACTTGTGTGTGTTGTGTTCATGATTATTAACTGTGATAGAGAATCTAAATTTCTGAAATGAATTTTGCTGCCTTGCTAGCTAGTTTTCATCCTGGATGGTCTTCGGGGGTGGAGTGAGGAGTGTACATCAGCTTCTCAAATCTATTGAGCATGTTGTGTATATGCACATTTTAAGAACCACTGACGGGCGGTGGCGCATGCCTGTAATCCCAGGACTCTGCGAGGCCGAGGCAGGTGGATCATGAGGTCAGGAGATCAAGACCATCTTGGCCAGCATGGTGAAACCCCATCTCTACTAAAAATACAAAAATTAGCTGGGCGTGGTGGCACACGTCTGTAGTCCCAGCTACTCAGGAGGCTGAGGCAGGAGAATCCCTTGAACTTGGAGGTTGCTGTCAGCCGAGATCACGCCACCACACTCCAGCCTGGTGACAGAGCGATACTCCATCTAAAAAAAAAAAAAAACAACCAGTGATGGCCAGGTGTGGTGGCTTGTGCCTGTTATTCCAGCTCTTGAGGAGGCTGAGATGGTAAGATCATTTGAGCCCAGGAGTTTGAGACCAGCCTGGGCAACACAGCAAGACCCCGTCTCTACAAAAAATAGAAAAATTAACTGGGCATGGTGACATGCACCTGTGGTTCCAGGTGAGGCAGGAGGATCACCTGAGCCTGGGAGGTTGAGGCTGCAGTGAGCTGAGGCACCATTGCACTCCAGCCTGGGCAATAGAGCGAGATCCTGTTTCAAAAACAGAACCATTGATTTGAAGGAAGTATTTCTCCAACACACATTGAGAATGATCCAAAAAGGGGTTCTATAGGAGTACATGGAGTGAGATGTTTACTTAACAACTGAAGAAAAAGGCCAGGCAAAGGGGGTTCATGCCTGTAATCCTAGCACTTTGGGAGGCTGAGGCAGATAGATTGCTTGAGCCCAGGAGTTCAAGACCAGCCTGAGCAACATGGTGAAACCCCATCTCTACAAAAAAATACAAAGACTAGCTGGGCATGGTAGTGCACACCTGTAGTCCCAGCTACTGGGGGTACTGAGGTAGGAGGATCACTTGAGCCCAGGAGGTGAATGTTGCTGGGAGCCAAGATCACAACAGCTTTCAACAAACATGAAGTAGAAAATCAAAAGTAAAGATAGTCATGTCTAACTTAGAATCTCAATAGACTTTATATAACACAATATTGTATGGAGAAATTGAGGGACAGAATTACTGGGAAACCCAGCAGAAGGCTAGGCCTCCCTCTTTGCTGTCAGCTGTGGATATTTGTCTGGTTTATCTAAATGAAGGAGAGGTGAGGTGTGGATGGCTTTCATGGAGGATGCTGAGAGAAGAATATTTAGTTGGCTAGTGATACAATCCCACTAAGTGAAGCAGCCTCTTCATAAACTGGAAGGGTCTTTTATGTTTCAATAGCTGCTTGGAAACAGCTTTGCAGGAAGCATTTTGTTAAACTGATCAATCTTTTCACTAGCCTGATAACAACCCTGAGATTTAACTAACTGGTTTTCTTATATAATTGAAAATTATCCGGATCACTTGAGGTCAGGAGTTCGAGACCATCCTGACCAACATGATGAAACCCCCGTCTCTACTGAAAATACAAAAATCAGCTGGGCGTGGTGGCAGGTGCCTGTAATCCCAGCTACTTGGGAGGCTGAGGCAGGAGAATTGCTTGAACGCAGGAGGTTGCAGTGAGCCAAGATCATGCCACTGCTCCCTGCCTAGGCGACAAAGCTAGACATTGTCTAAAAAAAAAAAAAAGAAAATGATCATATGGTAAGTAAACCAAAGGAGAAAACTAGACATTATGCGGCCACAGCCCGGCAATGAATGTGCTGGGATGTTTGGTAACTCTGAATCCAAATATTCATAATTGCTACCTAAATAAGTTAGGAGGTCTGGAACATTTTCTGTTTTAAACCATGCATAGAATTATAATGTATAAAATTTACTCTCTCATTTCATGGTATAAAGTGAAATTTTTCCCAGCAGAATAAAGTTAGGAAGAATAGGAAGAATTTGAGTGCTTACTATATACACCAAGCACTTTTTTTTTCCTTTTCTGTTTTTTTGATACAGAGTTTCCCTCTGTCGCTCAGGCTGGAGTGCAGTGGAGCATAGTATGAATCGATATCGTGCCACTGTACTCCAGCCTGGGCGACAGAGCAAGACTCTGTCTCGAGAAAAAAAAAGAAGTAAACTGGAGCCAGCAGGTTGCCTGAGTGTAAGGCAAGCAAGTCCCTGGGGCTGGAGGTGCGCAGAACCTCTGGCTCCTCCTTGAGTTTCAGCAAGCACTGTGGCTTCAGGTGCGGCTGCGGGCACTGCTGAGCTGCTGCCATCCCCGAGCGGCTCCCTCAACTGGACCGTGGGCCTCCCCACCGACAACGGCCACGACAGCGACCAGGTGTTTGAGTTCAACGGCACCCAGGCAGTGAGGATCCCAGACGGCGTTGTGTCGGTCAGCCCCAGAGAGCCATTCACCATCTCTGTGTGGATGAGGCATGGGCCTTTTGGCAGGAAGAAGGAGACGATTCTTTGCAGTTCTGACAAAACAGGTAGGGTGGTATCTCTGCAAACTATGCCAGACCCCAGTGTCCAGTGGGGTGGGCTCCTGGGACAGGCTCCCTCTCCTTTCCCAGGGCCCCCTGCTAGGCCGGGCGCCCGTAGGCCATGTGCTGTGCTGTGTGCCAGGGGCACTTCCTCCCCCAGAGCCACGGCCTGAGCATGTGGGTCTTTGCTGTTGTTGCTCAGTGGGGTCCCTGGTGACCACAGGCCCCACTGCTCAGAAAAGCCAAAGTGTGTTTGTTTCTAAGCCCTGTCCTGGCTCAGCTGAAGAGTTCATTTATGCAGATGAAATTCTGTCTTCAAAATCCATTCAAGAAATAGCTTTTATTTCTCCTTTGGGTCTTGAGTTGGCAATTTACCTACAGAAACTGCCTTTGCAGATATGAATCGGCACCACTACTCACTGTACGTCCACGGGTGCCGGCTGGTCTTCCTCCTCCGCCAGGAGCCTTCGGAGGACAAGAAATACAGACCTGCAGAATTCCACTGGAAGCTTAATCAGGTGAGTGAATCGAAAATACACTCATGCGGCCAGGCAAGGTGCTGACTCCTGTAATCCCAGCACTTTGGGAGGCTGAGGCGGGAGGATTGCCTGAGCCCAGAAGTTCAAGTCCAGCCTGGTCAACACACTGAGATCCTGTCTCTACAAAAAAAATAAAATAAAATAACTGGGCCTGGTGGCACATGCCTATAGTCCCAGGTACTTGGGGAGCTGAGGTGGGAGGATTAAAGGACCCCAGGGGGTCAAGGCTGCAGTGAGCTGTGATTGTGCTCCAGCCTGCGTTACTGAGTGAGACCCCCATCTCAAAAGAAAAAACATGCTAATTATCATCTTCTAAGAGTAAGTGGCTACTGCAAACTTGTACGTGATTGGCTGTGTATAGTCAGTGTATATTTATAATTTTATGATTTCTGTGTCTGTGGGTAATAGGGTAGCAATTTAAATCTGACAACTTTCCACTGAAAGCCTACATTTTTTTCCCATGTATTTTATATATAAAGTATTGCTACAAAAATTGTGTATTTTGGCTGGGTGCAGCGGCTCACGCCTGTAATCCCAACACTTTGGGAGGCTGAGGCAGGCAGATCATGAGGTCAGGAGATTGAGACCATCCTAGACAACATGGTGAAACCCTGTCTCTAAAAATACAAAAATTAGCCAGGCTTGGTGGCAGGCACCTGTAGTCCCAGCTACTTGGGAGACTGAGGCAGGAGAATTGCCTGAACCCAGTAGGCGGGGGTTGCAGTGAGCCAATATCTTACCACTGTACTCCAGCCTGGCAACAGAGTGAGATTATGTCTCAAAAACAAACAAAAAAATTGTATATTTTATATTTAAAATACTGTTACTGAAATAAGCATCATTTGCTTAAAATTGGGATTGAGGCTGGGCGCGGTGTCTCACGCCTATAATCCCGGCACTTTGGGAGGCTGAGGCAAGTGGATTGCCTGAAGTCAGGAGTTCAAGACCAGCCTGACCAATATGGTGAAACCTTGCTTCTACTAAAAATACAAAAATTGGCTGGGCATGGTGTAATATGCCTATAATCCCAGCTACTTGGAAGGCTGAGACAGAATTACTTGAACCCGGGAGGCGGAGGTTGCAGTGAGTCAAGATCACACCACCGCACTCCAGCCTGAGTAACAGAGTGAGACTCGCTTCAAAAAAAATAAAAAAAATTGGCCTGGTGCGGTTGCTCATGCCTGTAATCCCAGCACTTTGGGAGGCCGAGGCGGGTGGGTTACAAGGTCAAGAGATCAAGACCATCCTGGCTAACATGGTGAAACCCCGTCTCTACTAAAAAAAAAAAAATAGAAAAATCAGCTGGGCATGGTGGTGCGCGCCTATAGTCCCAGCTACTCGGGAAGCTGAGGCAGGAGAATTGCTTGAACCTGGTAGGCGGAGGTTGCAGTGAGCCGAGATTGCACCACTGCACTCCAGCCTGGCACCTGGCGACAGAGCAAGAC